TCCGGGCTTACGGCACTTTTTCTCCCGAGTTCACCACGGAAAGTGGTGTTCGTCAGGGTTGCCCTCTTTCTCCTTTTCTATTAAACTTTGTTATAGATCTGATTATGGAAACAGCCCTATCCTCGTGCCAGGATAGTGGCATCGATTTTCATTCAGAAGGCACTCTGCCTGATCTGGAGTATGCAGACGACATTGTGCTACTAAGTGAAGATCCAGGTAAGTTGCAAGCTTTTCTCGAAAGTTTGAGTGCTAGTGTAGCGATGTTCGGTATGCGTTTTGCACCTTCAAAGTGTAAAATGTTGCTACAAGACTGGGTTGGTCCAGCACCCAGCCTCACTCTTACTGGAGAAGTAATAGAGCAGGTGGATAAGTTTTGTTATTTGGGCAGCTACATCTCACCCGGTGGACGCATCACGGATGAAGTGTCAGCTCGCATACAAAAGGCTCAGTTGGCATTTGCTAACTTGAGACATCTGTGGCGCCGTCGCGACATCCGACTCTGTGAAGGGTTGAGTGTATGCCGCGACAGTTCGGCCAGTATGCTATACGGTGCAGAAACTTGGCCATTAAGAAAACAAGAAAAAGAAACTGTCGGTGTTTGAACACCGCTGTCTACGCAGCATTGCACGAATTTGGTGGGGCAGCCGGATGAGCGATGCTGAGGTTAGGAGCAGAGTTTTGGGTAAATACGGTCGCCCATTGGAGCAAGTGGTCGACCCCCATAGTTTACTTTGGCTGGGGCATGTGTTACGCATGTCACCAGATAGGGTACCACGGCGAGCGATGTTCGCCGAAGCAGGTCCGAGTGGAAAAAAGCCAAGAGTGGTCAAGCTAAGACCTGGCACGAGAGTATGAAAACCCTATCCAGGAAACTGGGTCACATAGGTCCTGTTAGGCTCTCTGGCTGGGGACCTCGGGATGATCGTAACCGATGGTTAGAGACACTGAGCGATATGGCTGGGTGTCGTAAACAGTGGCGTTCGCGCATTTCGATTTCTTTCCAACCTTANTCTCCATTTTCTTTTCGAATCCACTTTCAACTTTCCTTTCTTCTTCTATTCTTCATCCAAATGGGTAGCCAAAAGACCAACCAAAACCGGCGCTCGAATTTGCGTGGTTAATGGTTCAAACTGATAACTGATGCATACGTTACATAATTAGGATGAATTTCAATTTTTGTCAAGTACTTGAACGAAAAATTTATACTGGTAACTTGAGGGGTGTCTAGGGCGAATATATGGAGTTAACTACATATAGACATGGCTTTGATACTAACCTTGATTATTTCATGCTGTGTTGCGTACAAGAGGAGGAATAGTCCCGTAACCAGTCCATATTCACGCATGCCNCCAGAGTGACTATCCAGATTGACAGAGAGGTTGCGCAAAAGACCAACCATGGCTTTGATTAGCATCCACGAGGTGACAGGAGCTTGAGGAGGTTGACATACAAGACCAAGCTCCTGGCAAATGCCAGCCGTAGCAGCATGCAATATCCGCGCAACAATCGGAAGTCCAGAGAGTTCATGGACAATAATGTGTCTGGCTGTCTCTTCATCTTCGTGTCGACTAGTGAGGTGACGTAGCGCGCACATGCAAGGCTCCAAAATATCTTCTTTAGCACCGACTTGACCCACAGCACGCAGCAGAGCCTGGATGCCACCGAGCTACATTGAACCGAGTGAAAATAAATTAAAGACAGCCTCACCTTGTGCACAATGAATTTATTAGTGTGATTGTTGCAAGTAAGGTTGGATAGAATGCCAGCAGCGCATGTCACCATGCTGGAGTCACCACAATCAAGTAACTGTACGAGTGAATGAAGAAGAGGATGAAGATTGTCCAGTCGCGTGGCAGCATCGGAAAGGTTCCGTAAGGCCCATAAACAATTCAGCACCAGGCGATGACTAGAGCTATGCAAGTGCTTAGCCAAAGCCTCCATTCCTCCTGCAGATATAATTGCCGGTTTGTTTGACGTGCAAACGCTCAACACTTTTAGTACACGCGCGGTAGTCCACAAGAGTTTTTCGTATTGATAACAGCCAAGGATGCGTACCAACTCCACTGGGCCACCACTGGAAAGAATCTGAAGCTTGCTTTCTTGGTGTCCGTATGCAAGAATCTGAAGGCAATCAGTACAGATTGTCAGAAATTTGATGTTGTTTTTGCGCAGCAATACTGTCATTTTCTGCAGGCAGCCGCTTTGACGCACAACGCTTTTGGCTCCATCTTGATGTAATAGGAGGTTGTGAAGAGTTGTGATTGCGTAAAACAATACTGATTCGATCGGAGAGTTCAAAAGTTTCACTAGGCAGGGTACACAATTGGCTGCGAAGATTGCCTAAACGTGATGAAAATGCATAGAAGCAAAATTAATAAGCTTACCTTTAAACCAGTTTGAGTCTGGGACATATTATAAAGGGTTCCCGATAGGAATCTAACAGTTTCCGGATCATCCGTTCGATCGAGTGCTGATATGATGCACTCAATCATATCACTAGACCGAATTAAGGCATCAATAGCCTCCGATTTGCTCAGCTGGAAAACCATCATCGAAGATTGATATATGACCACTTGATCATCCTCATCTTTGATAAGTTTTACCAAATCCGGAATAGCACTAGCTGCTTCGTCTGTATCGATATCTGGCAGCTTATTTCCCCGGAGGTCAACATTGCTCGCGGAGTGAGAACCACCCGGTGTATCTCCAAGATTGTCTACACCCATCACACTGCCAGTGCTTGGCGTAGCAGGCGAAAGTAAAGAAGAGTCTCCTTGATTAGCCGATAGAGGAAACGATGGCCACTGAGTAAATGAACACGTCCTCGGATAGCGATCATCGCCATCGCCATCGTCTATACCAATTTTGCTACTCAGGCTTGGAGTGTGTGTCCCCACAGCAGAATGAATACCAGAGTCAGCCATATAATGGCTTTGCTGCCACAGTTTAACCTCTTGACATTTATCTACAGGTTGCTCGGGACAGCTGATTTTATTGTCCGATGGAGCAACCGACGTGGTTTCATTCATTTCGGAGGACACTTCAGCGTCCATTATAGATCAAAATTATTGATGATCGCGGTATACTAAAAAGTATCAGTTTCGTGACTGACTATCAGAGCGATGAAGAACGGCCCGCAAAATGTCGAAAACGAAACATGGAGACCAGATGTAGCGCTTGGGATTAAAGGTACCGCGGATTTCAGGTCCACGTCAGGTCAGGTCAGGTCAGGTCAGGTTTCACAGGACTGGTAGTGGCCACGGGCCAATCG